GCTCAGTTATCCACTAGGAACCCGCAGGACACCCTGGGAGGTGAGCTTGCCCAGCCCCATGCCCTGAGCACCATCCAAAATGTACGCACATGACACGTTGCAAAGCTTTGTCTGTCTCCCAAAGCACACTGAGGAGAGGACAGTCCTGGTCAGCATAACTGCCCATGTGGCCACTTGAATCCCAGCCAGGCAGCACTAACCTCACTACTCTGATGTGTGAACCTCCCGCTGCACAGTCCAAGGACCACAAAGCCTGGGAGGGTGGGGTAGGGGCCCCAAGAGACTAGCACTTGGAGCCCTAAGGGCCTGGTGCCTGGAGAGAGAATAGTTCCTTGTTTTGAAAGTCAGTGCAGGGGGTGGGGGACTGGACAGAGAGGGGGATGGGAATGGCAGACCATGACACCAAAGACTCACCTAGGCTGTGGGCATGTGTGTTTTCAGAGCTTAGAGGATGCTGGTGCAGTGGCTGCTATGCACGTTTAATTCAGGGACATGCATGAAGATGCCTGTACTTCCACCTCCCTCAGCTAATAACTGGTCCAGGGATGCTAGAAGGAACTTGGGGGCTGGTTTCTGTCAGGCACAATAGTTCATCTCTGCACCCTCACTTGCTGTCTACATGGTCCTAAAACAAGCACCCACCTCTCGGAGTCTCCACTTTCTCATCTGCACCATGGGGATATCTTGCCACCAGCCCAAGGAGCCCCAGAAAGGTCATAAGCTCACATCCTGGTGTGGGACCCTGGCTGTCTCCTGACCCTGGGCCTCAGCTTCTCCTTCAGTTCTGGGCCAGACCAACACTAAAAAGGCTGTAAACTCTGATTCTGGAATTTTGGAGGTATCCTATCTACCCCCTCCCCAGACTTCCCTCTTTCCAGCAAAAGCCCAACAGGTCCAAGAAAATGTCACTAACTTGGCCCAAGACCATTTATACCAAGATGGTGCAGAAGAACCACTGCAAGTCCTGCACAAGCCTGGCTTCCCTGGCAACACGAGGACTATATCGGAAATGCGCAGGCAGCGAGGCCAGCAGGTCTGCCCTCGCCAGCGAGGCCAGACGGCCTCAGTGGAGCAGCAGGCTCCATGACCCAGCCCAAGCTGTTTTAGATTCCCGCCGGCCATAAAAAAAGGCATTTCTTTTAAAAAATAATTCATAATTCACACTGACTGCCCAGCAATTACGCCCAGCCGGTGGAATGCAAGTATGTTTTGCCCCAGGAACCTTAGACATTAAAGCTTTAGTGCAACTGGCCCATCCATCTGGGTACAGCATGACAGCTGAAGGTGGTTGCCCTGCACCCTGTGGGAGGGGCCCAGCCCTGAGGGCCGCCCTGCTCTTGGGATCATTTTCCTTCTGCGGTCGAGTTTCCTTCCGCAGTTTAGACAGTAGGCAGGGCCCAGCTGGGAGGTTGGGCTGTCTGTTCATGCACTACATGGGCATCTAGAGTCCAGCTTCCTTATCTAGGTGCTAGCTGCTCAGACATAGCATATGCTGGGAGCACTGCAGCATAACAGCTGGTACACTGAGGTGGGCCTTGAGCTGGGTGAAACAGTGCCCTCCATCTCCCTCTATGGGGCTTGCTCAAGGCCATGTTGTGAGAGGGGCCTGGGAGGCCTGGAACTGGCCTCACAATACTGGCCCAGCCCAGCCCAGAGGCATCCACCCAAGGGCATGGGGTCTGGGCCTATTCTGAGCTCTGCCGGTCTGGCTGGTCGTTGAGGTACTAGAAGGACTGAGTATAGAGGGACTGCCCCTAGCATGCACCCCACAGCGTCTCCAGTTCCTACACAGGACCCCACCCCCAGTCCCTGAGAGCAGAGGGTACCTGCCTGCCCCAGGCAGGCAGCAGCCCTTCAGGGACAGAGGGGATTTCTCATAAAATCTGGAAAACTGAAGTGTTTCCAGTGGCCGAGCTGCTGGGCCACTTACGGCTGGCTCTGCCTAAAACTGGGCAGGAAACAGGCAGAAGACAACTTTACCTGGGCGCACAGTGACTGGCAGCACCTGAGCCTCCTGAAAACACCCTTGATGGCTGCCCTTTTTCCTGATACCTCAAAGCTGAGCTGAGCAAAAACTCACACTAAAGTCACAACAGGACTTTGTTGCCAAAGCCAGCCCCACCTTGTGTGCAGCTGTGGGGTCACTGACTTTAGTCCAAGGGCACTTTTGGAGAGTCTAGTGGGGCCCAGGGCCAGCAAGAGGAAAGAGGATTCTCAGGAAGGGGTCAGGCAGGTGGGGTCTCGGCACTGTGGCCTCCCTGAGTGGACACCCACAGCATCCTCGCCCCCTGTTGGTCCCCCCGTTGCTATGACCTCATTTGAGACCCCAAGGGGTTGGCGGCAGCTCAAAGGACCCTGCACGGCCTTGGTGTTTGCTAACAGAATTGACTATGCTGAGAAGCAGAGGAACAGCCTTTATGGCTGTGCTGATTCGCTCAGGATACCCATGAGGCTTTGGTGGATGGGGGCTGGGGGTGACCTGGTTCAGGGTCTCAGGGTGCCTAAGGCAAGAGGGCTCTGGGTGTCCCACACAGCCTCACCTCAGAGTTCTACATTTGTTAGCTCCAAACAATGGGGGCCCCAACAAGGCTCAGGGCAAATATACTCAGAAGCATAGAAGAAAGAAGGTTGGTGACACTGACCCTGTGCAAGTCCCTGCCTGGGAGCCTGGAGCCCACCTTGCTCTGTTTTTCCCTTGATAAAATACAGAGGGGTAGAGAGAAGACATGGACACTGAGGAACCTTCAGAACAGATACCACCAGAGTTCTCCAGGGCAGTCTCAGCTTCACATTAAGTGAATTTGTGGCGAGAACACTCAGAGTGTGACGGACGCGTCCCCATCTACCCAGATCAAGGGCCGATGCAGAAACAGACTCTGTCTTGTAAGATGCTCCCTTCCAAACCAGCCAGGCCCTGGCTATTCTTAGTATACAGGGATCCAAAATTAAAACAGAGGAAGCGCCAACTCCCTCAGTGGTTTGGGAACTTCCCTGAATATAAAGTTCCATCCACAAAAATCCCACAGCCAGGAATGGCATGGTGTGGATGGTGACAGCCTGGGACCAGGTGTGCTGGGGAGGGGGGGCGGAGGCTGCCTTGTTCTCTCAGCATGCTAGGAGGGAGGATGTGGGAAAGAGCGCTCTTCCAGGTGAAACAGGAGTCAACGTGTTTAGACAAAGAGGAAGAATGAAACTGAACCCCCTCCAGAATTCCCTCTCAGGGGGCCCAGGTTCACCTGCTTTGTGCCCTGGTGTATCCAGGGCCATGCAAGAAGCCCCTGGTGCTTAGTAGGCACTCAATTAGTGCTCAGTAAGGGCACCAATGAAGAGCACATGGGGAAGCCCGGTGAGAACGTTGCCCTAAAGGTTGGCTGAAACCCTATACAACAGCTGGATGTCACTGCAGACCTGCTGCCTTCTGGCCATCAAACCCTTGTTCCTCATTCAGATGTCACACTCCCAGAGCCAGACTCATCCTCCAAGCTGGCAGAGCCTCATTCTAAGCCATGCATGGGAACTTCCCCAGGCCTCCCCCTCAGACACCAGGGAACCACGGCCCTTCCTTAGGAGCTGCACTCTGGGCCTTTAAGCCAAGTTATCCCAACTTCTGCAAGCCTGGTTGTGGGTATGGGGTACAGTGTCTAGGTGTGGGACCATCCCAGGGAGGGAGGGGCAGGAGAGGCCAAAGGTCTTCCAGCAACATGCCTCTCTGGGACACCTCCCTCCTCAGCAGCCTGGACCCCTGGGATCCCTGGCCCTGCAGAAAACAGCTCTAAGCAAACTCTCCTGGGGCTGTCCAGGATCTCCTGGGACCTAGAGGTCACTGCTGGGTGATTACAGAGAGCCAAGGAAAAGAAGGAAGGGTGCTCATCAACCAAAGCCCTCTGTCCAGTGGTGGAAAGAGGGGACTGGAGGTGAGGACCCAAGACCACGAGGGGACAGCCAGCCCCATGTGACCAGGCCCAGGACCTCCCAGGACCTGCCTCTGGGCCACTCTCTGCCCTCACCAGAGTGGCTGCCAGCTAGCCCAGAGAGCTGTGTGCAGTGGGCTCTGGTCACTCCTAGGCTCCAGGATGCTCTATGTTGGGGTGAGGCTCTTACGAGGCTGGGGCCTCCCACTACCCCTTGGGACAGAGGCCCCAGCCTCCATTCACAGAGGTCACCTCACTGCCTACAAACACTCCCAGCCTGGGGTCTTTGCACTTGCGCTTCACTGCCTGAGTGCTCTGCTCCCAGAGTTTTGGCTCTCTGGCCTCTGCTCAAACACTGTTACCTTATCAAGGGGGTCTCTGAGGACTTTTGATAAAACAGCAGCTCCTTCCCAACCGTGGCCCTCCTTCCCTCCTGTCTTAATTTTCAGCATAGGACTATCACCATCTGATTTTGCACACACCGTATGCTGTCCCCAGGATGCCAGCCTCTCTGCTGCTCTCTGAGGGACCAGCACCTAGAACAACGCCTGGCAGCAAGTCCATGTGCAGGGAGAGCATGGAGTGGGCCTCCCCTCCCAGGGAAGGTCCTTCTCAGTCCACATGCTCACCCCACTCGGGGAGGCACGTGTGCACAGGCCTGTACATGTGTGTGCAGAGTACACTGAGGCTGCACTGGGCTTCATGTAAGATAAAACCTAAAAGCGTAATGAACAATTCCCCCACACGGGGAGCCTAGGGTGAGCAGAGGCCCCATTGTGTCAGCAGCAAGCTTTGCTCCACAACCTTGGGAAAGGGGCTTCATTCTCAAAGCCACTGATGGTCCAGGATGGTGGCTAGGGCTCCAGCCATGACAGCCATGTTCCAGATAGCTAAAGGATTTCCTCAGGTATCTGCCTATCTTCTGAGAGGCTTACTAGACTTCCCATCTTTCTGCCCATCTCACAGGCTGAATCTATCAGGAAAACTGGAAATGTCTCCTCCAGGTCCAGTCCCAACTTGGATAAAGTTAGGGTCCCCATGTGATACTTGCCCACAGGTGGATCCCTCTGTGGCCAAGGTACCACTCACCATGAGGATGCGCCGGTAGCTGTCCCGGTCAATGCCCCAGAGCTTGAGGTCCGTCTTGGCTTTCACTGTTGCGGCCCTGGGGGTGCCATAAATGAGCGCCAGCTCCCCAAAGCTGCCTCCCTCACTGATGCTGGTCACCCACTCTCCATTCACGTACACCTTAAGGGAACATGACAGAGAAATGTCACATGTAGGGTGACGGGTACTTCCCACACAGTGGTCCCCATTGCTCCCCCACAGGGAGTCCCTGCAAGGAGGGGCACAGCTCCCTTGCTTGTGGGCAGAACTCCCCATACCCAACCTAGGAGCCTCAGTCAGGCCAGCGTGGTATGTGGACAGAAGCACCATCTCATCCTGTTCAGGGCTGCAGCTGGAAGGTATCAGCAGACAAGAGGAACACAGACCAGGACCTGGGGCAGAAGCACCTCAGGGCCCTAGTCGGCATCCCAGCATCTAGCCTGCCTCCTCGGCAGCCTTCAGGTCAATTCCTCATCCACTGTAGACTCAGTGTCTCTGCGCTGCCTGGCAGTGAGTTAGACCCAACTTTCACAGGCACTGCCTTGGCACTCTGTTCCCACCTGAGCACCCCACCCTGCTGCTCCATTCACAAGTTGCCACTCACAGGTCCCAAGAACTCCCTGCCTCCCACACATGCTACTGCAGCCCCAGGAGCCATGCTGACCCACTGGGACAAATCCCTTCCTCTTGGGCCTTCCCCCCTTCAAGCAGCACCCACGCTCCCTGGGCCTAGAGTGTGAATGGGAGCCCTCTGGTTGGCTCTGCTGCCCAGTGGGGCCAGGAAAGGGCCAGGACAAGATTCCTTTTCATGCTGCAGGGCCACCGCCCGCACAGTGTGCCACTATGCACTGACCATGCACGGCCGCATCCGCGCAAGAATGGTGCAAATTGTTTATTATGCAGAGATGGTGCAGATTTGGCTACTATGACTTGACACAATTCACTCTTTATCCCCTCCATGTGTCAATGAGCTTGAAGAATAGTTCCTATTGGCAAAATCATTCCCATTGGGTGCATATCGGGAGAGAATGGATTGCGATGAATCATTCAATAAGTCGATTCTTACTGAAATCAATGACTCATTATCTGGGTAAGAACTGATGCCCAGAGTTTTCTATCTGAAAGAAAATGCCACAAAGGTGATGACCCCCTAACGCAGTGCGAGCGAGGGCTGGGAGAAGTGGAGAGTTTCGAGGGGAACAGAAGTGGCAGCTGTGCAAAGCAGATGCCACTGGAAGCATCTGTGCTTGCCCCACCTGGTTCATCCAGGCTCCATGTTCCTGGAGGGAGGCCAAGAGCTCCACCTCCAGGGCAGGAGAAACACCTGCTTCCCCCCACAGCCCTTAAAGAGTCAGGGGAAAGCTGTCCTCTCCAGAGTGGGGCGTGTGTGCCCCAGACATGGAGGGGGCAGGAGGAGGGAGAGCTTGCAATCCCAGAGTTTTGGAGGTGAAGGGACCTTGAAGCACCTCCTCTGGGATGCCCAGAGCCTGAGCCCAGCCCAGCCTCTCATCTCTAGATGACGCACCAAATTTCCTACATTGTTGTAGAAAACAATTAATGGAAGGACAACTCACACCACTCAGATGGGGCCTCCAGAAATTCCAGGTGACCCATCCCCAAAGCCAACCCCAAGTTCATGTAAGGAACCCAGGCCCACCCTGTTGTGCCTCCCCCCATGTGAGCTTGTGACTGATATGCCTGGGGGACCTACATTGCCTTGGGTGCACCTGTAGAGTGCCTTTCCCCAGCAGCTCACTCATCGCCCCCTTCTAGAACCCACTGTGCTTTTGCTGAGTCATGAAAGCGACATGGGCTCAGGGGACGTGACCCTGACATTTGGAGAGATTGCAAGAGAGGCAGGCAGTGCTGTCTGCCCAAGGAGATGGGTATACTTCTCTTTTTCCTGTAGGGGAATGAGAAAATTGTCCCCTTGAACAGCTGCCCCGGGCAGGGAACAGGATACACCATAACCTGCCAAAGAGCAAAAAGGCTCCTGGAACAGAGGAGGGTATATCTCAGCAGAGCCAGCTTGGAGCAGCCACACCCCCACTTTCCTGGGGCACATCCCCAAGGAGTGGGGGTCTGCTGCTGCAGGACAGGGCTGTGGGGGAGCAGTTCAGATCCCTTTTCCATGAGGACCCCCTTCCTCAGCCTCCAAGGGCTCCCTCTGCAGTGTCAGAGGGAACCATTGTGCAGTCTGTGGACAGGCCAGGGCCACATTGGCCCCGGAGGACAAAGGAGCCATCCTTCTCAGGACACTGGCCTCTGTCACTGCTCCGCACATAGTGTGGGCCCCACCCCAGCTGGTACGCAAAGGGGCTACTTCTTGGTTTGTTTTTTTTTTTTTTCATTTTTTGTGTTTTCTCCTTTTAAAAGGAAAATGGTGGGGGCCTTGGGGCTACATTCATACCCCACAGGAACTACAGTTTCTCACAGAGCTCTGGCCAGCCATTCCCTCTTCTGCTCACCCCTCAGTGCTAATCAAGCACCTGCTTCCTGCACAGCACCGCTGGCCACAAGCAAATGCTCACACACACACATACACACACACACACACAC